CCTGGGGGGGGCCCCCCCCCCTCCCCCGCCCCCCCCCCCCCCCGACCCGGGAGTTTACTCTGCAGCCACCCCCTCGAGTTGATTGCGCGACGGCCCATCTCAGGCCTGTCTGCAAGGCGGGCGCCGAGGCCTGCGCCTCATCTCCACCACCGCTGTTTTTGCCACCTCTCTTCTGCTCCTCGAGCTGCACACCAAAATGAGGGTGGAGGACAGAGGTGGTCAGATGATGTGAAGACAGAGCAATCCTATTTTGTTGTTGTTGTTGGTTTTGTTTTTTTTTTTTTAAACCTGTTGCTTACTTAATCTTTCGTTGGTCTACCTCTACACCCTAAATTCAAGACAGCCCAGTTTTCTTACCTTGAACTTACCTAAAGGGTAAAAGCAATTCACACAAAGATCAGCCCGAGCAGAGTCTTGCTATACAGACACCATCAGGCCACAAACCAATCTCGAAGCGCCCTTGAGGCGCACCAGAGACTTACAACTCACCTCAGAGTCGCAAGCTGGACAGTCTGCGCAGCTAGGAAGTTTACGGATGCCAGCTCCACATCTCTTACCTCCCGGCAGCAGGGAGTCACTAAGAAGGCTGGCCTCTTCCCGGGCCCGCAGAAGACTGCGTGACCAGAGCGGGAGGAGAAAGCCACACTCAGACTGCCACGAATCCTCTGCGCCTTGCCCACAGCCTACCGGCCTCCAGCATTTTGCAGCCACCACCCACCCCCGCCCGTTACTCATACCAATTAATTGAAAACTTCACTTTCCCAGGGACCTTTGTTTCGCTTCCTTTTCCAGGCTGCCAACTGCAGAGAATTGAGTGTGCCAAGTTAAAAGGATTTCTTTTTTTCCCCAAGTAAAGTCGGGGCTGGTGATAGAAGCCGCCCAGAACGCCTAGGTCCGCCTAGGTCCGACTTCACGGGGATAGCGTTCGCTCTCACCGGAGCAGCTAATCCAACTTTGGGGGTGTATCTGCTACAGCTCTAATCCTTCTGTATTCCCACCTCATCCCAGTCCCAGTCATTCTTCTGCCCCAGAGTCCCAGCATAACTATTCTGGGATCTTAACCACTTAAGGGTCGCCCTTGTAAGTCCTGGGTCGAATCTAGGTCTCCTGGGAGCAATACTAGACTTGGTGAGTCAAAAGTGCTGGGTGGGTGGGTGTAAGAGCCTCAAAGTGAGCCACTGGGTGCTGTTCTATCGACCTTTCAGACCAGTTTACCTGTTAAGAAAATCATTCCTTTAAACGTGTGGTACTGGGGCCAGTTCGTCACCCAGCCACCCAGCGTTACTGCCCTCTGATTGAAAATAGGCTCTGAGAAAGAAGAAGAGAAAGAGTGAGCAGGTCTTCCTGGGCCTGGTCTGGTCTGACCTTGCAGGGTGGGCTGATGGCTTTGGGACTGTTGACACGAAAAACACAGTAACCATAAAAGGCTCAAATAAAGGGGGAAAGTTATAGGAGAGGTACTAGAAGAGAGGAGTAAGAGAATTTGTTTGACTTTTAAAAGTCCTAGACTCGTTCATGGTCAAATTCAAATCCAAAGAGTCTCTCCAGGGCTTTGTGGATCTGTGATGAGCAGCCATTTGTTGATCGGGATAGTTTTGATTACTCGAGAGAAGGGAAAAGTTAGTAACGGAAGCTAGATTGCATCTAAAGGGTCAGGTACTGGAGTTGCTGAGTTTTAAAAAGAGATTAGCAATTAAATGTTTTACTTTCCCTTGTTTTCCTTTCTGTTATTCAGAGAGAAACAGCATGGGAGAGCTTGGTATTTCTCCCCATGGCTTCAAACATTTGCAGAAATATTTTGAAGATACAACAGAATAAGCAGAAATAACTGGAAGCAATAATCTTTTGGTCTCCTAAAACTCAATATTTTAGTGATTTTGTGCTCTTTAAGCTTCAGTACTATCTGTATATACTCTGGCTAATACATTTAATAAACATTTTATCTTTAAAACAAAGATAAAAAGATAGAAAGAAGAGTTTGTCACATTCTGTGATTCCAGTTCACACATCAACCTTGGCTTATTTTTTCTTCCTTATGTTTTTTTCCTTGGCAAGAAATTAAGTTGTACTCAACTGGAGAAAAATTGGGATTAATACCCAGGTTGAAACCTCTCAATACGGCCTCATTCCCAATAATGCTTTGTGGTGTCATTATAGGACTTGGAGTTTTCTGCCGATTTCAAAGGTTATTTAGAAATAGAGGAAGTTTTGATGAATGAACTTTGCCCTTTGCTATCCCGGGGTTTTCTGTGACTTCAACAAAGTTAAGTGTTAGGTATGCAGGAGGAGCAGGTTATACCCAGAGAAAGGTTCTGAGAAGTCACATAGGTAGAGCCCCAAATCCCCAGCACCCCAGGGAAGTTTCTGCTATTGGGCCATGCGGAGGTTTACTGCTAGGCAATGCTGGGATTGCTTTATAGATGAACTAGTAAGGTTGTTAGTTTATAAGGTGATAGACAGGTATGGAGAGGATTCCGAGGTGAAATGGGGAGAAATATTTTCAATTTAGCTTGTGTATCTTGTGTCCAAATTCTATCCAAGTTAAAATTTAATTACAATCCTTTATTTTCTTTCACGTTTGAGGCACAGATCCACTCTTCAGCCTAGACTGGATCAAAATTCCAAAAGGGGTGGGATTACAGGTATAAGCCACTATGCCGGCTTTATAACCATTTTCGTCAGATGTCCAAGAGCACGGGGCGAGCCCTATATTTGTGTGTGGGTGTATCACAGTGGAAATTTAACACAAGAAGCAGGTTTTGTTAAGCAAAAAGAGTTTTGCAATGACAAGTGTCTCCAAATCCTTACCGATTGCTCTGTGAAAAGTTTTTGACGTATTTCCCGATTTTGGTGAAAAACTCATGCTGTCTTTTGTGGCTCCTTCGCTCTTCTTCCTCCTTCACTCGCTCCTAGCCCTTCCTTCCCTCCTGAAGAGGGAATTTCAACAGTTCCTTTAGAGAATTTTAATCTCTTCTGGAGTCACAGCCTCTATTCTTTCTTGAAGATTTTACGAATTTGTATGTCTATTTGGGGATGGAAAGTGGATGGATAGAGACTTAGCATTTAGACGTATTGAAGTGTTCTGCTTACCAAGGTAGCAATGAGCTCAATTAACCACATCATTGCTGCCTATTTCAGCCAGGACGGCAGGGTCTTGTCAGAACGGGGTTGTGGGAGAGTCCTTTGAAAGTATTTACCTTGCTGGTCACAACCAGGAAATACAGGGTATCTTACAGATAACTTACAGTTAACTTTTGAGAAGCCAAAGATTTAGTAGAAAAAGTCTCAATTCAGAAACAAAGTCTTAAGTTGATTAGGATTGGTTGCTTAGTGTTCTTAACCATGCCTGTCTGCTGGCGCTGTAACGTATTTTCCCTTCTCCAGCTAATAACCCACTTCACTCAGTCTGGGGGGAAAACAAAAGAGCAAACAAAGTACAAAGTAAAACTCAAACAAAAATCCTCTGATGTAGAAAAGGGGTTTTAGCAACAATCAGAAAATGCAATCCTGTGTTTGGGGCACTAGCTGTATCTCGAGGTGGAATCCTTTTGGGTTTAGAAACAGAATTAGTCTCTATTAAAGGAAAATCTCATGCAACAACAAAGACCTTCTCCATATACCACGTGATTCTTTAAAACTTCCAAGGTTGCCTCCCATAGTACAGCAGGCCCTTATTTGAGATGGGGAGAACTCCTCTAGCCTTGGACGGTAGGAAACAGGGGGGAGCATCTTCCCTGCCAAAGAAACACTGAGTTTTACTGCAGTGGAGACTCTGGGAAGATAGGGCCAGAGCTGGAGGACCGAATAACTTCCTGCTTTCTTTCTAAATAGAAGCAGATTGTGATTCGCTGTTTTGTCTCACGTTTGAAAGCATGAGTTTCTAGCAACACACTTTCCTAACTGTCAGCAGTGAGGTCAAATAGAAGTCTATCACCACTTCAAATCCTTCACGTTCTCTATGGGCAACCCACGAGGTTATGGGTAGCAGCAAGGCAAATTTGGAAACCGCCAAACATGTAGGAGGAGCTTGAGAGGCTGATGAAGGATGTCGGTGGAGGGACTTGGGATCCCTGAAAGGCGCCTGCAATTCCCCGCGCCTGGCGCTAGATGTCTCTGCAAGTTCTTGGGTCTCATCTGATGGTACACAAACTCCAGACAGGCGGCAAGTCTGAGCCGCCTTAGAGTCTAGAAAGAGAGTACCCACCCAAATCCTCACCTGCAACCGTCCTAGGGTAGCCTGAAATTGCAGGGGGTGGGGGAGAGAAGGAAAACGGATGCAACTGGGCTGACCAGATGAGGCAGAGTGCTAGGGCTTGACTGCGAAGCAATGGGAACATGAAGTCGCTCTAGCGAAGGCAGGCTTGGTTACTCCAACCCTCATTCTCTCCTATAAATCGAAACCTGCTTGTGAGGACCGCACTCAGCCTAAAGAAAACGCGCCAGGCCCACAGCTCAGACTCTGGAGGCGCGTGCAGTCCTTTCACCACCGTCTGCAATCCCAACTCTCCAGCGGGCCTGAGGCTCACATCAGCCTGAGAACCGGAGGCTCCTACTGATTGGAGCCCTCCATCAGGAA